GGTGTCCAACCACCCTCCGCAGCTGCGAGGGGTATGACGGGGACCGATACTACCGATGCTGCATGGCACAAACACGAACAAATGCTCCTCATGGAATCCAGGCACAAGCAACAATGTGAGTATATCGGAACATAAACTTGAACCTTATGCGCCCTCGCGTTACTTCCAATTAACCCCTCGCCTGACGATTTCTTTCGAGACTTTGGGATTGTCCATGATGATTTATTTCTAGGAGGAAAGGGATTTTACTTTTGGGTTATTTTGGGAAGATGGAAGATGTTTTCTTTGAGACGCTTAACACTGGATTTACTAGACGAGTCAAAGTGGTCTCCCTTGGATTTCTGCTTTCCAATTTTTGGAAAGTTATACTTGCTTTTTTGAGGAATGTTCTTTGTAAATTAGTTAGGTAATATGTACTGTAAAGTACGAATCAATTGAAACCTTAATAAATGCAGTTTTTTAATTTGTATAAGGAAGTATGTATTAGGCGATTTGATTGCTGGGTAGCTTTAGTGTTACATGAGGACTGAAAGTATTGGAAGATTTGGCTTTTGATACTTAGACAACCAAGTAAACGGAATTATAGGTACAACCTGTTTTATTAACTTTAATTGAACTTATTTAACTGATTTTCTTATGAACTTTTTTTTATGAAAGAAAGATATTTGATGAATTGCAGATAACCCCAATTTAAGACTTACGAAATAACAAGGGAAAAATTAAGCAAAATACAAGGCAGTGTATTATTAAGGGAAAAGTGGAAGATCTCCCCATTCGGTTGGCTAAGTGTTAAATAAGCTTCAATTACTTTCTTACAAAATAATTGAGAAGAATTGAGATTGCAAACGAGAAACGTCAACTGTAATTGTGAACGTATCAGTTATTTGTGCAAGATTATTCAGCGTACCATCTTCCCTGGAATTACTCTACAGAAAGAATTGACGCTAGGTTTACGGACTTTTGTTGTGCAGTTTATTTCATTGTTTTTAGAAAAATCAAAGTTTATTTAGATCTTGGTAATTGAAAGCTTAGAAATAAACGATTAGATATATATTCATGCAATTCAGTATGCGTCAAATTGACGTATCCCTAGTGTTAAATATTGATAAGAAAAATAGAATTTTGCGTGTTAGAAAATTAATGATATTTGATTTCGTTAAATTGACCGTGGGGTGTGAAGTTTTTACTGTGAGTTTCGTTTCATATTGCAAGGCGAGGGGTTGAAAGGGTCTTCTATTTCTGGAGTACTCTCTAAAGTAACCTTTAGATTTTCATGTTAAGAACTGAATAAACGTACATGATTCACACGCTTGTTATGGCAAAAATATTTTTAGGATGCTACATTATTTGTCATGAATAAAATTTCAGAGATCATACAGATTTTACTGTCAGAAATATTTTGGAGACTTGGTCTACCATTTCTGACTCTTTTATTTGTTGAAAATCAGTGAACAGATGTTCGTTTTATTCGTCATAAGTATGGTTGGAATTAGAACAATCCTTTTAAAGTAGTTTATCGATATTATAAGCAATCATAAAGAAATTACGCAATTAGCAGTAGCAAGAAACATAGAAATTCTCGTCATATCGAGATACTTTTAGATTCAACTGTAGCAACAGGTCCATAGAATATGTGTTTAAAGGAACAAGTTGATCAAACTAGTAGTTTTTGAGAGAAGCATGAGAATATTGAAAAACTAAGTTTCCAGAAAATTACGTTTGAAGTTTTACAAACAATTTTAAGACGAACTGTCATGTATTTACGACATTTACTCCAGTTCAATGTTCCAGAGGCCAATTATTCTTTGATAGAAACTGAGAACAAAACTAAAAATGTTATAGCTACGGTTTTTGTTTACGAGAATATCATTTGTTCTCATATTCTCTGCTAACGTGTAATGAAATTACTATTAGTTTCTATCATAAAATTTTAAAATACTTGCAAGAACTTGGTACAGGTACTTGTTTCGTTCAAGAGACAAAAGTAAACTTTTAGGATACAGTTGAGAAATAAAGAAAGAAACAATCAACTAGAATAAAGATAAAAGGGGAGGGGGTAACTTTAACTTTAGCTGGTTTACATTTTTATAACATTTACAATTTTTCGAATTATATTAATTTTTTGCAGTCGAATGTCACTATAATGATACCTCTAGGATACGATATTTAAAATCCAAAGCAGCAAATGAATTATTGAATTACTCAAATAACGAGAAATTAATATGTGGTTTCTTTGTTTTCTAGTATTTAGGACTTTGATGCGTAATTCAGTCTTGCATAGAAAGAGTTTTTAGAAGTTTGAAAAATTCTCGACCACAAAGGGTTAGATTGCTTTGAAAATGCATTATTAACAGTATAGAAATTCGTAAAATGTGAGAAATTGAATTGTTTTTCTTTCTATATCAGAAGAATCTTAAGAGCGATACATACCAGCTTGTAGCTCTCATTCGTATTTCAGTTTTCATATTAATTACGTTCAGCACGCCGCAATTTTTATTATTTATTTTTTAAATGTCTTATGATTTTGTAATACCTTTGAGGTATAAAGCGCTTGCGTAATCGTGTTTGATCTTGCTCATTGCAATTTCCTGTGTCGATCGTTTACCCAAGCAAGATAATCTTGAAAACGTTAAAACTACGTAAACGATTCGAATATCTGTTGAAATAATTCTTATAATCGTAGTCAATTTCTCGTCTATTAAAACAGATATATTAAGAAATAATTAATCAATTCAATCAGTAATTGTTTCGTAAATTATTTTGAAAACAATTAAGTTAACTGTAAAGTGATAGTGTTAGGAATATTTATGAGTTATGTCTTATGCATTTGCATAAATGTATTAACTTCATGGTCCCGGTAGAAGATTATATACGGTGTTTAAGAAATCGTGTTATACTTAGAAGGGAATAGAAAGTAAATTTTGTTTTCAGTTTTCCTATAATTTCCGATAATTTTCGTATAAGTTTTTAGATTAATGAGTATTATTAGTTATTTAAATTAACACTTTATCCTCTTCTAAATTATCGCAGTTTTACTGAGTACTACCATTTATATTCTGAACATTTCAAGACCGTTCAAATAGCATATACGCTAAGTGTAAATATTTTTCTAAATTATTCATTGAAATTACAAGAAAAAATAAATATTTTAATAAAAGTGGTACTTTAAGATATAAAGAATTACTATTTACATTGTATACGAGCTAAATCGCCTAGAATGTGTTCTTTCTTAATTAACAACGAAACAATTTGATTAACACTAAAACTATCGGACGGGTCAAATTGATCCACTTCAGGATTTTTATTTTGCAAGTACTTCAATCATGAAGTTGTTTCCGCGAGAAATTTTTAATTAAATTTTTAATTAAATTTGTGTATTTGTACAGATGCAAGACTAGGAGGCCGTTCGAATCTCGTGAAACATATTGTTCTAATTTTTATAAGGAATTAGAAATAGGTCACTCGAATTGCTCGGTAGTTTTAGTGTTAATCAATAGGAATGTTTACCACGAATTTTTCCAATTCAACGGACCACTGATGGATAGGATGTTAACTCCTCATTTTTTATGTCTGTCATTCATATTGTAGACATGACACTCATGGTCAAATATGTTAATTCAAATTCAAATATCGGGTCGGAGGACCTACCTCTGTTTGGCCATTGAAACCGTTATTGGCAAGAATCGTTGATGAATACTGTAATCCATTTAGCTAAGAAATGTCCAAAAGAAAAATATTTCTTGCGACAACTTCTAGTCTAGCAGTGATTAACAGGACTCTGCACTCGAGAGGCGAGTGTCAGTTACTAGTTGATTTGATGCAACAACATTATAAAGTCTTATGTATATAATATTTAGCTTCGTGTAATCGTGTATGCATTCGATATGTGAAATATTTAAATAAAACAGCTATGCTTCTTAACCCTTTGGTCTACAATATCGTGTCAGACACGTGACGAAAATTGTGAACTGAATTCGAGAAACCTAAGTGTTATTTATGTTTTTTTTAAATATTAAATTTTACTTTTCTGTTATCAATCGTTAACCTTTGGAGTAAACGTAGACGTAGAATAAGCATACAAATTTCTTCTTTTCGTAATAAATTATTAACGATAAATTGTATTGATCAAAGTTAAGAAATAAATCATAGGGGAAGGGGTTAAGTTACATATGATGTCTCTTTAACTTGACTTGAAAGAAATATCCTGTAAATCACATCAAATAATGTTGAATATTTCTAGTGAAAAACTTTCGATGCAAAGGACTAGGTGTTTAACTAAGTACCCTGAATTTTCTACTTAACACTAGATTTACGGAATCCGTCAATGTGACGGATACCGAATTTCTTAAACATTATTTAGTAGCAGATTACATCGATTTTAATTCGTGCAATTATACGAATACACATTGTAATACTCTAGTTTTCAAGCTACAATTTTCGCGATCTATACAAACAAACATGTAGTTTTCTAGAATCAATAGAACAAGAGTGTAAAAGTGCTCATAGAATGATATTGTTGTTCTTCTTGCGTTTGAAATGTTGATCAGTTTCAATGATCCTTCTCTTCTTTAACAATAGTTAGATTTCATAGTGAAAAAACGAAGGCTCTATGTAGGTGACTTAGTCACGCTGCGTCCTTCAGTAACTTCACGCTTTAGCAACCCCTTTAGCATTCTGTTTCCACCTCTACCATTCCGTGGCACTATACTGCAAAACTGAATGTAGATTTTCGAAAGAGGATAATAATGATTATTGTACAAGAGTACTAACTACTAACTTACAAGAATATCGAAGTAATATGTTTCCCAAATATATTATGACTCATTTAACAGTAACTACAATAAAATTAATAGAATAAATAAGAAATAAACTACACGTATTTTCCAATAATATTTAGTTATAGTAAAAATCTTTTTCAAATTAATAATACTAAACGTAATTACCGAGAAAAATGATTTTAGATGTAAAAAGTTGAACAATGCAGAGTTTCGACGATAAAATTTGAAATAAATTGAAACAGTGAACTCACGAACTATTCGTGCATTTACTACTCTTCACACGTTATCATTCTTGTTTTCCTTAACGGTATCTTAACAGTATTATCAATATATGCTT